AGTTTAGTCATTATAAAAACGAAGAACAAGCGATCGATCTTCATTCTTTCCTTTGAAATGCGGGACGCATTTCATTTTTGTTCAGAATAATTCACTTGTATAAGTGGCTGTCTAGCCAGAATGATTAATAGATGTCGACAATATTCGTGTTGCTGTTTTGGTGTCCGCTACATGTTCAGTACTAGTTGAAGACACGCTTCGCGTACTGATGCTTCATATAGTCCTCCCTTGTACAAGCAGTCCGACTGGCAATTTCAAAAAGTACCCCCTTTGCTGCTCCGCAGTAAGTGGAGATGAAGTTGTGGTCATCATTAGTCAAAGGTTCGCTATCCGTACAGGTGTGGTTCTTTACTTCAGAGCAGGGCACGCCATCGCGGGATCATTTCCTGAAAAATACGACCCCCCTAATTCCATCCTCAAATACGACCCCCTCCCCATGCTACCTACCACTTTCCTAGATTTTCCCAACTTCCTACCACTTTTTCCATTTTCTCCCGATTTTCCAGTTTTTCTGCTCAGAATTTTCTGTCGAAGGGGAGGGGTATATACCCAATGTGGAACAGGAAATTCCTCAGATTTCCCCTAACTTCCTTCCAGTTTTTCCGAAATTTCCCGAAAAATTTCTGGTTTTCCCCGAAATTTTGCTGTCGAGCGGGGGGGGGGGATGAGGTCATCAAGATTCAACTACAATTTTCAACTATAGGAAATAGTTTATAGATCTTCGGCAGTCCCTCTCCCAACAGCGACCAAATAGACCCCCCTCCCTCGCGGTCAAGTACGATCTCCCTCGTTGTGATCATCACAACGATGGCGCTGCCTTGCTTCCGAGTCGCGGTGAGTGCGGCAAACCGGCCTTTTACGCCTAGTGAAAAATGCAGTCTTGTGGGGTGGTTCAAACCCAACCTGGAGTCATTCTCGACCGTCGCCCGCTTTTCTTGGGGCATTTTGCTTATTTCTAGATACTATGGCCTTTAAAACAAACTCGCTATGAGCAACATCTTCATATTTTTATAGGTGTGGAACACCATTAATACCTGGTAATCGGTTCGATTCCTTTAATAGACTTCCGGACTTCATGCCTGCAATTTTGCACGGTTTTTCGAACACTTGTGGAACTTTTAAACGGTGCTTAGTTTCTAAGAATAATCATTTCTACGCCTTTTTTTAATTTTTTGTATATTGCCCATCATTTAGAGCATAGAGAGGAGAAATGGTTAGTATGGTCTATGGTCTCAAATGTAGCAATTCTGACGCTTCCGTAATTGTCCCGCCCAGCCGAACTGCAACTTCGTTTTTTTTTTGTTTTCACTGTTAGATAGTAAAAAATTGGATGACGTGAAGAAACGAAGAAACGATTAGGGAGCCAGAGGCGGCAGGATATTGCTTTTGCTAGCATAGCTCGTGGAGTGCGGTGAACTTGGCCGGAGCCGACAGGTCCCTACTCCCGATGCTCTCTATGATTTTTTTGTTCCATTTCCTGTGAATCTCTTAGCGACTGGTGGCTTTGTTGGGTTTGTTACCAAGCGCAAGAGTATACATCCGTGGGGCTTGTCTTTGGAACTTACTTCACCTCATAAGCACAACCTCTTTCTACTTACCCCTTACTTGGAGCATTATACTTGGCCCCGGGTTTAGATGGTTTCATAAGAAACTAATTTTTTGTCACTGTCAATGAGCAAAAGCACCATATCCAGCGTTAGGTCTAGCACAGCATTGGCGTCCGAGGAACGTGGTTTGATTCGCTTCCAGCTGATTGTGGATTATTTTGAGGTAACAGGAAATGTCCCATTCGCAACCAGACAACTGGTAGAGTAAACAAACCATCAAAAACTAACAGGTAACATTCATTACTCTAATAGTTGGAGCCACTGGCAGGGCTCTTAGCCAAATCCCCATAGCCCTAATGGCGAAGCGCTTAATTGCTCATTGCACCACTTTGTACAATTGTTGACTACCCGCCGCAGCGAATAAAAACCATGGTCAAAGATCATGATTAGACTGCAAAAGAACAGGAATCACTAGCGTGCAGAAGTAAATAAATGTGAAAATTTGATGAGCAAAATATTTTGTCGAGATGCAAGCTATTCAATAGCATTTCCACTGGCGGGAGATCTTAACTCTCTCACACACGCTTAAGCACTCGGTCAAATCGGATAGACACGCCACCGATAGAAGCTTTTTCCTATGTGATATTACACGTGGAAACGGCGCTTCGCTTCTGAACAAATGGCTATTCCATCAGCTACCGGGAAAATCTCGGGAGCATGCCTGGGATTAGAACATTTCCCTAGTTAGGACCTCAAAATTTCCCTCAACAATTGAGGAGGTTAAGGTTTTTTCCCCGGCTCTAAGTAGTTTATCTGTGAATTTGCTGCAACCGATATTTCCTATTTGCTTTACGAATTCCATTTTTTTCTCCTTTTTTTCTTGGCAGCTCCAAGATGTATGATGCTTCTCCATCCGTAGCACTTCCTTCTGAGAAACGAAAACAAATAAATTTCCATCAATTTTAATTAAAATAATCTCTTGTCGTTTTTCCAACCCTTGAAACTCTAGTCTTATCAATAATCGCATTGTGTCTCTTGCAATAACTACAGCTATTAATCATTCCGAATTTTGTTCATTGTTCCATAGTGCCATAATCGGCGACCAGCATTCTGAGTTAGTTTACCAGTTCACTGTTGGTACTTCCTTTTCCCCCGTACTTCCCTCCCCACCAACTGACATAATAGAGTTCATAGTCTTCACCAAGTATTACAGTGCATCGCAATCACTCGGCTAGAATATTCCAAATATGTTTGCTTTTGTTGGTCGCTCAACAACGCACGTTCCAAGTGGAAATGCTCATGTTCAATTTTGCAATTACTCATCTGTCTAACAGTCAAATCGCTTATCAAACGTGTTATTCATAATCAAAAGTTTAACAGTATTGATTGTAATTGTTTTGCAATACTTTTTTTTGATGAATTTTTTTGTCCTGTCGTCGTGCATACGTCATCATGGATGCCTTCTGTTTCTGAATCATCAAGTCATCATTTACAGCTATAATGAAATTCGCCCTCGTATCGCTGCGGTTTTCGTTCTAGGATTCGTTTCTGTAAGGTACGTATACTTCGTTGACTTCGTTGCTTATTCCAGTAAAACGCTTAATAGTAAAAGTAATTCATACCAAAACGGAAGTACCATCGGTATTGAACATAGTCGGTTCCAGCTTTTATTGAAAAAGGAGAGCTTCAGGTTTCGATTAACTCTTTTTTTAGAATGCGCCAGGCATCCGACTCTTATCCTTTTGTGAGCCGGGCGGGCGTCTTTGCCTTTTGAGAAAAAGCTGCGGCGTTGGAAAAATGTTCCCGTTATTGATTGACTTTTCGAGGTTTTTCCTGTTTCCCTGTTTCAAATGTGCTCTATATCCCCCCCCCCCCCCTCCCTCCACCGCCCGACGACAGCTCAGTCGCATCAGAGGAGGGAACCAGAGGGGTTGTAGGGGTCGTATCAGCCACTTTTCAGGGGAGCCGTACGGGCTCGACTAAAATCCTCAACTGATGATGTGTCCTGTTTCGGACCCACCCGACGTATAGGTCAGTTTTTGGTCGTGGAGTAAATTTACAAAACGGATTGTTGCATGTTCTAGAGATTCATGTGGGAACCGCAGAAGTGTAGTTCACTTTTGATGTACGCTTTTGGGAAGGCCAAAGAAAGGGTGAGCAATAGGCTGATAGGCGGAAACCCTAGGCAAAAAAATTGTGCATTCCTATAAATTTTACTTTCTTATGTTCATGATAATAAGTCAGAACCACTCTTTTCTCGAGTGAAAACGTGTCCAAAAATTCCTAAAGGTTTTCTGAGCCGAGCTCGTCCGTGAACTCGTTTAGCTTTTTTTTGCCCCTCCATGACATTCTAGGGCGCAGCGAAAATGAACTATCACGCTATTGTGCTCCCTGCTTGGAACTCTACAACATGCAAAAAACTGTTCTGAAAATGTGCTCCACGTCCTGAAAGACCCCTCAGGAATCTTATGTGGACGGCAATCCAACCCTCAAAGAAAGTTCCTATAAAAATTAATTCATACATCTTCTCCAGTTGATACTGCTGCCGCTGACGTTGAAGACTAGCAGATTCTTCTATTTATCTCATCAAGGGCGGTAAAGGGGCAAGTGGCCCCACCCATCTGCTCCGAGAGTCCGATCCCGGCTCCCGCCCGGGCCAATGCTTCTACCTAGAAGGGGCCAATAAGGTGGTATTAGATAAGCCTGACTGGCCATCGCAAGTGGGTAGACCAGGTCCCATGCAAATACACTTGTATAACCTGGATGGATGTAGAAGGCATGTCGCATCTCCAAAAAAGATATGTCAGCGGCGGAAGTTTGATCCTTTCATCCTTTTGAAGTATGCTCTAGTGAGTAACGTTGTTATTGCAGAAAGTCACAAAACATTTTTTGCCATTGAAGCCATATAAACAAGGAGCATAAGCTCATTATTGCCATTTATTTCGTTTTTTATATTATACCATACTCATCATGCGCGGGCACCCTATTATTATAGTTTCCCCCAAGCCACCTCAGTTTATTGGGACTAGTTAACATTCCTGGAATTTTGAAGTGCTTAGTCAGCTAGAGCCAAGCAGAACACCACTGTGCAGTCTAGGGACCATCAATGAAAAAAGCCGGAATTCTCCATGAAATTTGTTTTGTGTGGCTTTATTCAGTCTCCTGATCCACAGAAGTGAAAAATGGCTGCATAAGAAGACATTTCGTTTTGATAATCAATTTGACATTATTGGGGCTTTATTTCCGAATACATTGCCTGCTACGCTGCAACGTATTCTTCCCTTCTACAACTCGTATTTCTCATAGTACAACATTTTTACTGGTATTACTTAGTGCTGATACCAAAGCTGGCCCGACTGACTGGAAGTACCTCCGGAATTACACCGTTTGCATGGTGGGCCAAAATTTTTTGTCTCGATTCGTTCAATAGCGAATAGTAGAACAGGTTCTGCCATGAATAACAACTCTTGGACTCCCTGGTATGAACTTTTTTCCAGAAAATTTATGGCAGCCTGAAGAGTTATGCGGAAAGACTGCAGATTATGATCAGTTATTAGGAAGTGAAAAACTAGCAGCGTGCATAAAACACTAGGAAGATAAAATAACCTGTATCAGGGAAAATTGATGACTAGATGGGTTGTGGAAAATAGACAAGAACAATGATGTGGCACTATTCGACTCGGGAAGGGTACGCTCCCGTGAGACTTGACAATCGTGATCTGGCGCGACAAAGCTGCGTCTGCTGTCTAGGTGAGAGGACGCAGTGAGATCGAGGCATGTTCCTACCCTCGCTAGTCGTGCTAACGCATCTCAACTGCCTCCATGAAAAGGCGCAGGCGAACAGACACAACAGGAACACGTCATGGTTCAGCTCTTTCGGAGAACGGCCCTCTTGAAGAACAACTGTACATTCATCTCCGCGGGAAACCCCTTCTATGAACAAGATAAATACGACCGCAGCTGCAGCCGCTTGCTACTTTTTCCAATCAGTATTCCGGGAACGGGGCTGGAGGGTAGCGGTCAGATACCGTCTCCATACTCCTCCTGCTCTATCCTCAATGTGCAGCACTTTCGTCGATACCATGGTCTCGCAGCGAATTACACACTAAAGAAAAGCAAGAACTGAGAGGGTGCAAACGAGTAGCGCGTTTGGCTATGGTTAGCCGCGTGGTTGGCCCTGCGGCAGCGCGTGCGGAGTACGGAGAAGGCAGCCGGGTGTCACTAAGCTGCAGCTCCTTTCCCCACGTATATTTGAGTAGAGAAAATGGAGCGCTGCTACAACTGCGGATCGTTTTCCTCATACATGGAAAGACCAGTAACCGCGGGGGAAAGTGTACAGTTTGCCGCGAAAGATCCACGAGACTCATTCCACGTGCCCTCATAATAAATTTTTTCATTCTAATTTTTGAAAATTCAGTTCCACCGAGTATAACCTATTTTTCAGTGCCCAATACAAATGCTATCAGTGTATCTCAACTAGTGACAACCAAGAAGATTGCGAATCGAGTGACACAGATAAACTGAAGCCGTTCATCAAGGTAAGGTTTCGTGTAAAAAGCAACCTCTTCAGGCTCTAACCAGCTCCAGTAGTGTTTGTTTCGCCAGGCAATTCCGGTGTTTTTGATGACTCTTCACAGAGCCTTGAGTTTCGCTTTTCTCGCTTCTCGTTCAGGAGTTGAAACTTCTAAATTTTACCCAGAACCATCCTGCTAGAGCTGAAATTATTAAGGTTGGCGGGAAAGTTCTGTCACATTTTTTTCAAACTAGGCTTTCTTTTTATAGAGAGGCGTGTAAGATCAAAATTGTACAGCAATGTTACTGCGGGGTTCTTGCCAGTGTTTGAGCACCCTATGGATGCATTTGCTTC